TTCATTCATTTGACGTGAGTTTGGTGCTTTATAAAAGCAATAATACATGAAGGATCACTTATCACTGTCACCGCCGTCCGAGTCCCCTGTCCTCAGCTGTTGGAACATGGATCTATTGGTTTAGAAGTTCTGCCATTGAGAACTTCCCCCCTCTCAAGGCTCCACTCAGTTTGCAGGTGTTATGGAACACCATTGAGTCATATTGCTGTTGTTAGCATTAGCACTTCTTATAAGCTGCACAGCAATCACTGATGAAATGGTAACAAAGCAACCCACTGCTAACAAAATATACAGTTCAAAAACTGAAAGATTACCGCCAGTTTCGCGTCCAAAGTTAGTCCGACGCGGTCCCGCTCCCGCTGGTCTCTCCAGCAAGGATACCATGTAAGCTAGCAATGTTAACCCGAGCTTGATTTCTTCTTTGATCATTTTTTCGCTTTAGTTCCCTCTTCTCCTCCTCACTTATGCATCTTTTGGGCTGTTTTTCTGTCTCAGCCAGACGAGGTATAGCCACTTTCTGCTGCCATGCTGTTCTGTTTACATGCGCAGCAGACGCTAGAGGAGGCGTGGCCTAGCAAAGTTTCTATTCAACACTTTTTACGGCCTGAACTCACACACAAGCTGAATCAATGAGCCCAATTTTTCAAATAAATTATGGGTTTCAATACAAGCTGGATTAGCTTGATTAAAATGTGTAATTGTTTGTTTGTTTGTCACATTATTCCCTGTTTTAATTCCAAGTGTTTGATTGTCTAATGTAGGCTATACTCAATCTCTGCTTTTGTAATTGCCTTTTACGGTGTAGATAAGTATTTAACATAGGTGGTTTGGTTTGCTTTTTTGCAGTGTATATGACTATCACTCCAAATAAATACAGCTTCAACGTTTGGGCTTTTGTTTTTCTCCTATGCCTGCTGTACCGTATGTCGCGACACAGCAGGTGTTGACTCCACAAACATGCACGGTGTATAAGCCTTGGGCGTGCAGAGCGCACGCTAACGCGCAGTGCACCAAGCCGCGCGGCAGGGCGCTGGTCAGCCGAAAATACAAACCCATGCGGTTTTTTGCCACAGTGACCGGGTTTTCAGTCAAAATACATGGGAAACGTGTTTGTCCTAATGGTCTTTGGCACTAGATCTGAGCGCTGCTCTTTCCAGTCTACGGTCTCTCCTCGGGTCCGCGCTGGTCATATATTATGACTTTAATCTTAGTCTCGCAAAAGACAAAAATGGGTGACCCTTATGCTCCGTCGTAACTCTTTGCTTGCTGTTTCCTGAGTGGCGTCTGCACGCCACACGGCCCTGCAGTCCCTTTTATGGGCATCAATGGCCGGTTACCTATGCTAAGTAACTTTGCTAATGACTTACGAGGGGTCTCTCTAGGGTCCTCTTAGAAATATTCTTAAGAACGACTTAGGAAGAAATTTAAGAGGATTCTTAAGAAGATATTGGTAAATAAGGCCCAATGTTCCCACTGTTCCAGTGCTCATATTAGTGCTTTTTGCCTCTGGTGAGGACTTGTTCATGCCCCAATCCCACACAATCACACTGACTTCTCAAGTTGTTCTTAATCCTATTGCCACTGTTTTGAGTCTGCCCCAGGGCACCTTTAGTTACAAGCATGTGTGTCACACTGTGTGAAGGGAATCAATACGGCAACAACTGTACAGAACTTTGTGACATTGGTCTGTGAAAAGCGCTGTATACATGAAGCTTACGTGCTTAACTGAATGAGAATTTCCTCTGTCTGGTGACGGTATATGCGCCCCTCTACCATCGTAGGTTCCCAACTTTCACTGACCTTTTAGGAATTAATCTTTACTCTGGAGATGGTGGCATGTACACGGCCTCTCCTAGCTTCATTGTGTTAGTGTCAATAGACTGTCACAAACTGTATTACTTTGCTCTTCTGACTGATGATACTTGCATGCAGATGTTGTTCCAGTGCCACTACAATATAACTAACTGATGAGAGCTATGTGTGCATGCTGTCATGGTGTGGGTTTTATTTTTGTATTTAGCTTTTATTTTGAAATAAGTTCTGTGGTTTTGTTTCAGTTTGACTTCCAGTCCTGGTTTCCCCTGTCTTGATTGTCTGCCCCGCCCTGATGTGTTTCACCTGTGTCTGTGTCTATATGTAACCTTTGCTTCTCTCCCCTTGTTGCTGCTTCATTGTCTTGTCAACATTTGTTCTGTCCTGTTCCTGGTTATGTGTTCCTGGTCATGTGTTCCCTGTGCTTTTGGATTTTGAGTTAGTTTTCTCCTGCACTTTTATTTTTTCATCATTAAATTCCTTTTATTTTGGCATTCCTGCATTTTGGGTCCTCATTCAGCTCACCCCGTGACAGAATGAAGCAGCCACTAATGGACTCGGCGGATTGCCTTTTTTCCCACAAGTTTTTTTTTTTTTGTGTGCCGATTGCCTACCTCGCTGCCTACCTCTTGCACCTGTTACTTGGAACCACCGCCAGGCAAGAAACTCCGCCTGGGGTGGTTATTCGTCTTGCACCACCGCCGGGCATTGATGTCCGTCCGGGGTGGTCCTCTGTTCCCTCCGCCCGTCCTGCTGAGAGGTATCCAGTGGAGTTCTGCACCGGTTTTCACACCCTCTGTCTGCTGTTCTACGGTGACCTGTCCTTCCCTTGTCTCTTGCCGCCGCCAGACATTACCTTCGTCTGGGGTGGTTCTGCCCCCAGCCTGAGTCACCGCCGGGCATATGTCTTCGTCCGGGGTGAGCCAGCTCCTTACTCTCCAGACCCTCGGGAAGGTTGCCACTGGACTTCAGCTCCTGTCCCTGATCTGTTCCGTACTACTGACCTGTCTCTGGCCCATCCTCCAGACCCCCGCCACCCTCCCTGGCTCGTGTTTTTTGTTTTTAGGGACATCTGGGAGCTGTCCCTTGGAGGGGGGGTACTGTCATGGTGTGGGTTTTATTTTTGTATTTAGCTTTTATTTTGAAATAAGTTCTGTGGTTTTGTTTCAGTTTGACTTCCAGTCCTGGTTTCCCCTGTCTTGATTGTCTGCCCCGCCCTGATGTGTTTCACCTGTGTCTGTGTCTATATGTAACCTTTGCTTCTCTCCCCTTGTTGCTGCTTCATTGTCTTGTCAACATTTGTTCTGTCCTGTTCCTGGTTATGTGTTCCTGGTCATGTGTTCCCTGTGCTTTTGGATTTTGAGTTAGTTTTCTCCTGCACTTTTATTTTTTCATCATTAAATTCCTTTTATTTTGGCATTCCTGCATTTTGGGTCCTCATTCAGCTCACCCCGTGACACATGCCATCCAAAATGTGTTTCTACTAGATTCTACAGCTGTTGTGAACTGGTGCTGGTGTCCAGGAGGTGAATATTATTTCCCACATTTGCTGGCTGTGTGCGTGCAATCAGCCTGGTAATCTGGTCGAATAGTCTTTTGTTAAACAAAAAATACAGATTTGTTTCTTTGTATACATTGCCACATTTCATCTGTTAGTTTAGGTGCTGCTGCTTTCTCATCAGAACATGTGTCTTGCAACTGAAACTGCTGTGCCCCAGACGACTGCTACTGATGCTGCAGTTTATTCTTATGAGCAGGGCTAATGGGAGCTATCTATCTATTCTTCCATTTTCTTCCCCTTAATCCATTTCTGGGTCGGGGGGGTGGCCCAGTACACAGAGCACCAGCACCTCACTGATCCTCCTGCAGGTGGTGAGTCCACAGGAGCTGAGATCTTTCAGTGGGGGCTTCAGGCAAAGTGGGGTTAAGTGTCTTGCCCAAGGACACAACGACAGCAGACATCAGTGGGAGTTGTGGAGTAGGTCTTACGGTGGGCTCGAACCCATGACCTTCAGGCCCAAAGGCTGATGTTCTACCAACTGAGCCACTGTCGCCCCAGGAGCTGTCTATCTGATTTGTTTAAACATCTGTGTTTTTCTCACTTGATCTTGTGGGCTCCTGTTCAGGTTTTGGTGATCTGAGCTTCTAATCTGTCAGTCATGACAGATGTGCTGATACCTGAGACAGTACATTGCTTGTCAGATTTGTTCCCTGAAAGAGTCCAATCTTTTCTGTGCAGTGAGCCCATTTCTGTGCTCCAAATGCACATTCACTATGTTTTTCAACCATCGCTTCCTTAGCAGGACTGATGCTTCAGTTTTATCTCCACAGCCTCTGAGTTTCTGTATCTGACCTTGTGGCTCTGTGTGGAGTCTTTGTCTGACCACTTTGCACATGTGCTCCACCATGTGAAGACAGTGATTAGGTTCAAGGCTTTTCTTATTCTCAAAGAAAGCCTTCCTGGTATTTGATTGCCTGCTTGTCCTGTTAGGGACGGCCCATAGAGCTCTCCACATTGTATTGTTCTGGTTTACATACTTTCCATGTTGGACTTCTGTTAGTCAGGCTGTTTTTGTGTGTGACAGGTTGGTTTAGTTTCATCTTGTGGCTGTTCATTTTGACCTGAATTCCACTGTCTTGTTGGATATGTCGGTGTTGAAAGTACTTTTAACTGTTGTGCCTGTGTGTCCTCAAGGGTGCCCTCTCCTCCCACTGGGACAACATTCGTGCCATAGGTTCAGTATATGACTAGCCTGTTCCTGTTTGGGCTGCTGTTCCGTCCACTGTGTTAACAGTCTGAGGTTGATTGAGAAACCTTCACTAGGTTTGACTCATTGTTCACGTGTTTCGTTGCTCCATGGATGGACATCATTTTTGATCTCACATTCCTACTGAGTGTTGGTCATCGGGAAATGCGTGTTTGTGAACATGCAGGTACTACATATCTTCTATGAACATGTCAGATTGGAGCAGTATGCCAGTCTTCTGTTTTTTTGTTCTTCAAGGAAATACTGGTATAGACAATCAAGCGCAACTATACTGTATATATAGTTGTCATTCAGCAGACATGAGTGTGACATATTTGGTATTGTTACTCACACTGCACATGTGCTCAAGGAGTCATTCACTACAATGCACCACCCTCTGCAGTCATTCAATTTCATAGTTACATACGTAACTTTGCTTCTTTAGAGATGTAGAGTGTGGTGGAAGAGAGCACATACCTGGTACTGTTTTCCTGCAGACAGGCAGGGGTTAGTCACACACTCAGGACAGCATTGGCCCGTGCGGATCACCAGGTTTTCATTCTGTGCAAAACGGTGACAACAACATTTTTTTAAATATGCATCTAATAAGAATATAGTGCTTGTGTGCGATTCCGATGACATTGCCCCTGTAAATGTTAATTCATGATTTTAATATACATATAATTCAAAACAATTCCAGTTTTCTCTTATTTCATAGTAGTGTCTAACTTGCTTTTTATATTTTCCATACAAAACATTATAGGTGCGTGTATATCAGAATCAGAATCAGAATCATTTTTATTGCCACGTAAGTAACAGGAGGTCACAGACTAGGAAATTGCTTTGGCTCAGTGCAACAGTCAAAAAGAGATAATAAAAATAAGAATAAAAAACACTTCTAAAGAATACATTTAAATTTAAAATAGAGTTACAGTTACTATTTACAATATACAAGTGCACATGGTGCACACAATGTAAGGTGACAGCAGTACAGTGAAGTAAAGTGACGTATGATGGGCAGTAAAGTGATTTTATAAAGGGCGGGGGGACAGGTTAAGAAGTGTTCAAGAGTCCAACAGCAGAGGGGAAGAAACTGTTCTTGTGGCGGGAGGTTCTAGTCCTGATGGACCGCAGCCTCCTGCCTGAGGGGAGTGGTTGGAATAGTCCATGTGCAGGGTGAGAGGGGTCGGCTGTGATACGACCAGCCCGGCCTCGAGCTCGGGCGACGTACAGGTCCTGCAGCGATGGAAGGCTGCGGCGATCACTTCCTCTGCAGAGCGCACAATGCGCTGTAGTCTCTGTTTGTCCCTGACTGTGGCTCCAGCGAACCACACGGTGATGGAGGAGGTGAGGATGGACTCGATGATGGCCGTGTAGAACTGCACCAACATCTGTGCAGGCAGCTTGGCTTTCCTGAGCTGCCGCAGGAAGTACATCCTCTGCTGGGCCTTCTTGATGAGGGAGCTGATGGTCGGCTCCCACTTGAGGTCCTGGGTGATGGTGGTGCCCAGGAAACGGAAGGACTCCACAGAGGTGATGGGGGAGTCCATCACGGAGGGTGGGGGCGGGGGGACAGTGCTCTTCCTGAAGTCCACAATCATCTCCACTGTCTTCTGGGCGTTCAGCTCCAGGTTGTTACCACTGCACCAGGACACCAGCCGGTCCACCTCCCTCCTGTAGGCGGACTCATCGTTGTTGGAGATGAGTCCAATGAGGGTGGTGTCGTCCGCGAACTTGATCAGCTTCACAGAGTCGTGGCTGGGGGTGCAGTGGTTGGTGTACAGGGAGAAGAGCAGGGGAGAAAGAACACAGCCCTGTGGGGCTCCTGTATTTATAATCCGAGAGTCCGAGACATTCTTCCCCAGACGCACTCGCTGCTTATATGTACAGTATATGCTATTAACATATGCTATTAACATAAAAAATTACAGGTTAGTTCAGTTACAACTACAGTGATGTACCGTTTTGCAGGAGACAGAAGGACACTCCGCCACAGAGCACTGTATCTCTCCATCTGAACAAACACATCGAGAGCAGAGGCCAGACTCAAACTGCTCTCCGTCACGGTACTCTCTGTCCTCCCAGCGGCACGAGCCTGAAAACAACATCCAAATCAGAGCTGGAAAACTCATTCAAATGAGTCAAAGCAGTCATAAGATTGAGAAATTAACAAGACAAATTTAAGATTCTTTAAATTCACAAGACTTGCCTGCAACTTTTTTAAACATCAAGCCTAATATTTCTGTAAAACATGTTGAGTTTTAAGATCAACTCAATACCATACACCAGCAGTGTGCTACGTGATATTTTTTCCTGATGAATTTTGTCCAATTTTTCTCTCAGTGTGATAATTGTTTGTACAATTGTCAGCCGCAATCAAATAAAGTCAATCCGAGGTGGCATGCGTCAGGCTCCATTGCTCATTGATGGCTCTAAAAAGTGTAGAAATGGCACAGAGGAATATAATAAGTTTGGAATTGATCACTGGCTCAACAAGCTCCTTATCATCTGTGATTCATACTCCTGCCTCTCTGGCCTTTTCAACTGATTTTATCCACACACAGTGAATTTGTATAGAATTGAGTCTAATATATATATTTCTCTCCTATGCGTCAAACCCCATTAAAAATGTTTATTCCAATTCAAAACATGTGTAGACCTAATTTTTGTAGTGGTATTCAGAATGCAATGATGCTACTTGATGGATCGGATATTTATTTTGGCATGGTTTTACTATTTCTTATCATATACTTATTATCTTATCGCAAAGATCTATGGGAAATACGCAAAGATCTATGGGAAACTCGCCTGTATTTGGGCATCGTCTGGTCCTCCCGGTTCTGCGCAGTGGATGATCTCCCATAATGCGTTGCGCCAAACACGCATGTGAGGGTTTCACACCGGGTCTCACGCACGTGCACAGAGGGGCTCGGCTGCGCTCTGACCAATCAGAGCAGTTCATCAGAGCGGGAGTTAGAGCCAGAGCCAGACGAGCAGAGTTTATGACACTAAAGTGTGGATTTAAAGAAAACTGAAGGATTTAAGAAGAAAAAAAGTTCAGGATGACAAGGGACACTAAAATCCCCACAAAATCCGACCTTTATTAAAGCTGTAGGTTCTCTGTCAGCTGAGGTCGCGCTGTTTTAATTTACATTGAGTTCTATGGGGAACATTTCTGAGTAGTCCACGTGAATTTAGTCTGGTCTAGTCTGCAGTACCGCAAAAATCCCCCGAGCACATGAGTTATTCAGCTACAAGCTAGTAATACCCTATCCAGTTATTATAATAGATCCATGATTACGTCACTGCTCACAGACATTAACAGTCGAGCCTGCGCGGAGTTGCAAAGAAGGAAATGCAAGCACACAAAAAAATCATATTCACAAGTACAAAATCACACATACAGTTTTATATTTTTTAATTCTTAATTACAAAATTCCATGTCTTTTTAGTTTGTATTATCTTAATCATGAATTAATAAAATATTTGTTTTGCACAAATACCAATAAAAATGCACGCATTTTTTGAAGACATGCACGTCTTTATTGACAGTAACCTTATCCCATATTGTGTGTTTCAAATCATGTTACAAATCTCCAGAATATTCCCTGCATCTTCATTCGGTTCTAAACAAATATTTTTTCTGACAGGAGCAGGGAGAATATGGTGAAATGTTTATGGGAGAGATAAACAGCTCAAGATGTGTTTGCTCGTTTAGTCGGGTGCTAATTAGTGGCTAACGTCTGTCTGTGTCAGAACTGCTTGCAGCTTTCATTACAGAGAAAACAAGGCTGATAATTTGACTGTTTTTGTCGAAAGGAGCTAAATACAAAATGACAGAGAAGGTGAATATTTCCTGCAGACTCCCCAAGGTTCTCATTTTGCCTTTTCAGAATACTATTTGCAACACCTCATGCAGAAAATTGTTTAAGTCATCGACTCTTGTCTTTAACCTAAACTAAGAAAAGCTATAATTAGAAACCCTACTGTGCCAATACAAAACCGGCTTATCATTCATATCCATACCAATATTGTACGCAGTAGTTTTTGTTTATGTACTTAGAGTAACACAATGTACTTAGAGTAACACAATGTCTGTAAAAATACGTGGTGGGGTAACAATCTGTTTTGGAAAGATACAGTGTGTACAGATACAGTATAAGATACATTTATGTTTGTCCCTTTATCATTGGGAAATTTCAATGTTGCAATTTACACTAGAAGTATACTAGAAATAGGAGCACTCAGATCATGCACATACAAACATAATCTATTATTTAAGATAGTCGATAATAAAATAATAAGATAATAAACTCTGGAGCTATAATTGCACTTAAGGCATAAGTACACTAATGCCTTGCATGCTTCTATCTTGTTTTGTTATGCATTTTGAGTTGCCTTGTCGTGTATGAACTGTGTTATACAAAAAACTCACCTTACACCCACCAATATGATGGGATGGGATAAAACAATTATCACATTCTTTTTTGAAACAATAAAATTCAGTAAAATACAGCTGTTGACGGCATATGCTGCTTTAAGATACATAGATGCTTTTGTGACATCTCATTCTGATGGCATAATATAAATGTTGCAGTGGAGTTGGGGTCTAACCTCCGTTCCGCACGCACTGGGGACAGCATTCTCCCTCTATGGTGTGTTCTGTGTGATCCGCGGGACAGTTGAGAGCGGGGCAGGACAAGGGCGAACACGACACACTCTGCCCAGAACAGAGGCACCGCTGACAGGGAGAAGGCTGCCACACGGACCCCTCCTGGAGGAGAGATGCACAAGTTAGACAAGGACTAAACCACTGCAAAGCCTGGACTCCGAAACAAGATTCAATTCAACTTACTCTTGTATAAACCCTAAATCACAACAGTAGTCATCTCAGAGGTCTTTACAAAATAATTGAATTTGCCAACACAGGTTCGAGAATCAAACAGTTCGAACACAAGAAATGCAATGATAAATACACATAGAGCCATTGGTCCATAAGGGGCAGATGACCAATGTGCGTAAATGTTCAAAAATGTTGTTTAATAATCAAGTATCCTGGATCACCACCACTGTAAGTAGCAATCTTTATTCATATACCGCCTTTCACAGACCAGAGTCACAAAGCAGTTTACAATTGTTATTTTTTGGGCATCTATCCTCTCACTCTACACGGAGATGGGAGTGGGGTTGCCGGTACAGGAGGGCAGCGCATGCCAGACCTATTGTACATGTTTTTAGTGGTAGGGGAAACCGGAGTACCCGGAGGAAACCTACGCAGACACGGGGATAACATGCAAACTCCACTCAGAAAGGCCCTGTTCCGACCGGGATTCAAACCCAGGACCTTCTTGCTGAGAGGCGAGAGTGCTATCCACTCAGCCACCGTGCCGCCCACTGTACTTGACCCTCCTGCATCGGCAAGGAAAACATCTAATAAAAAGTCCCAGAGGCATCAAGTGGAAAAGGGCTTCTGTTGTCGGCACTTGGGAGTAAAGATTTGGTGTCTTGCTTTTGTTTACTTATAGTTTTATGAATTTGAGTCATCTCCACTTGATCATGAATATTGAGAACTCTGGGGATCTCACTCATGCATGAGTCACACTAAAATCAAGTTTGCGGGGATGTATTAACAAGGAAATGTATTTAAACATGAACAGCATTATTTGGATGAGTAACAGTAATCTAATCTTTGATATCGTCTCAGGGCACTACACTTTTAGACAGCACTTTCTCCTTTTCAGAGCTGTCATGTTTTGAATAAACAAAGGCGCAAGTTTACGCCCATGAGAAACTTGCATTTTGGGATTAAGTCTTGGTTTAGCAACTGTCCTGGACAATACGAGAACCTCTTCTTTTATCCTCTACTAATTGTAAGTGCTGTCTAAGCTGGTAGTGGGTTTATGTCAGTTTTGTTCTGATATCAGAGGATTTGGTAAAATTGCTGTATGTTTGTGCACAAGTGTGTGTGTGTGTGTGCGTGCGTACGTGTGTGCTGATTTATAGAGACAAAAATTTCACTAGTTAATTACGTTTGCTCCTCAGTAACGCAGTTACTATCTCAATTAGTAGTAAATAAAGTCATCTGTAACCATAACTACTATTATTTTTTGGAAGTAACGTGACCAACAATAGTAATGAAGTGATTTAGAAAACACTGTTAAACTTACCCAAACTACTGCAGATTAGAATAACACAGATCCCAGGCCGAACTGACCAACACTAATGATAATTGAGTGTTTTAATCTTATTTTTTGTACATTCTGATTTCCTTAAAACAATATTTGCCAATGGGACAAGGAAGACAGTTCTTTCTTTTTAAAACGAATATTTTGCATCTTGTTTTAATTAAGGCAATGAAAATGTGCTCAAATGAAGGTACGTTTTGCCAAATTTGAGAAATGTTTCACAAATTTCCCATGACTTTTTGCAGAGTCCGTTTGACAAAACATTCGAAGAGACCACTGCTATGGCCTTTTTAGCCTCATCCACTTACCCCATATGTGACCCCTTCAGACTGGCATGAACCCTGGGAGGAAATACATTCGGGGCAGCACTTGTTGGCAGGTATTCTTAACCGTTCACCCTGAAAAAAGAAAACAATAGTTACATATGGATTTTCAAAGTAACTTTACCATAACCATAATTGGAGAAAGGAATCTTCACCTGAAACAATGAACAAACAGAAGCAAGAAAAAACAGAATGTATATAAAGGAACGATGAAGTAGAAAACACGTTCTCCTATTGCCCAGTGGAACACCCTAATCTGATTCTTCTGATTCAATACTAGTCAACAAACACAAATAGGTCAGACATAAAGGACATTGGGAAAAGTCTGGAGTCTAGGGAACGTAAGCATTATATGAATGGAAGTATCGCAAAGGTAATACTGCTGTCTGGGATGTAAAGATGTGAGTAAATAGTAATACAAAAAAGATCTATAGATTGAATAACATTACTCTTATTGGACTCAAAGGGCGTATCAGGAGTTATCTTGGGCGGACATACGGCGGACATACGGTGATGGTTGATGTGGAAGTTTAATAAAAAGTGAATTTTTCACACACAGTGGATCCACACCAAGACAGAGGAACTGTGCTTTACTGGTATCTTTACATACTTTCTCACTCCGGCTTTTAAACATATTCACAGGCTGTAAAATAAACGTCAGAAATACTAGGTTCATTTATGTGATGGTGTGGATGTGTACTGTATGAACGTATCTTAGAGCGCAGCCAAATAATGAGCCATTTTCACATGAACCTGGCTTCTATAGGTACAGATCGGCACAGGTCAGAGATGGGGGGGGGGCGTTCACATTCACATAATGATTAGAGTATCTTTAGGGATGGACAACGGTGGTTGAACAAAACCCAGGAAGATGTGGAAATTGACTCTCGGCAGCAGTGGTGTGTAAGATAAGATAAACCCACAGTCCCACAATGGAGATATTTCAAATTATTATTTAGTGCATTCCAACTATTCACAAATAATCTTACACCAGCTCTTACACCAGCTCTTACACCAGCTCTTACACCAGCGTCGCCTGCCATACTGTTCACTTTGGGAGTGTGAAGTCAAGCGAGCTGCACTGTTCCGGGTCGATCTCGTGTGTTACAACCATACAACACCATGACAGCTGTATGGAACAGCCCGATTCACAATTCAACTGTGCTTGTTTCATAAATACTGCAAATGTTTCCCAAACAAATGAAATGCTTTTTTTAGATTTCTAATACAAAAAGTAGGAAAATCTCTTATCTTGCTTTGAAGGCATGTCTGATTATTATGTGCTCCGCAGGTCAGGTGTGGTCTGAAGTTTAAGTTTTGACACTGTTTTGTTCATACATTGACATCCAAAATGGTTAGCCCAAAACTTTCTTAAATTAAATGAAAGTAAGACATTTTATTTGACCATAGCGCCCCCCTCATTGACTTGGGGACCTTGAAAGATCATGTGCGCCCCACAGTCACCAACCTTGGCGTCATTTTAGACAGTGATTGTAAACTTGATAAATATATTAATCGCGTTTTAAAATCAAGCCTTTATCACTTGCGACTTAGTAAAACCGTTTTTATATTTTAATCTTTTTGAGGTCATGCACGCTCTTATTTTTTCACGCCAGGACTATTGCAATGCATTTTATGCAGGCATCCCCCAAAACGCATTTTCACGACTGCAGTTGGGCCAAAACTCAGCGCCATGACTTTTAACAGGAAGCAAAAGGCGTGATCTTATCACACCAATTCTGGCCTCGTTACACCGGCTTTCTGTTCATTTTAGAATCGATTTTAAGATTTTATTGTATGTTTTTAAAGCTTTGAATGGACTGGCCCCTTCTTACATCTCGGACCTCATTCAAATTTACCATCCGCCCCACGTGCTGAGATCCGAGGGCCAGTTCCAGCTTGTGGTACCTAGGACGAGACTTAAACCCGGGGGGACAGGGCCTTCTCTGTGGCTGGACCAAAGCTATGGAACGCTTTGCCCCCCCCCATATTCAGACTGCTCCCTCTGTGGAGAATTTTAAGTCTCGTCTTAAGACCCATTTTTATGCTCTGGCTTTTAACACGTGAGTTGTATGGTCCTTTTATTTCATTTTGTTTTATTGCTATTCTATATTTATACATATATGCACACACAATTTTTCCTATTTGATTTTTTATGATTTTACTGTTTTACAATGGATTTGTTTTAATTAGTGTTTCATTGTGCAACCCTTTTAAAACTGTGTTTATGAAATGTGCTTTAAAGTGTAAAGGATTGGATTGGATTGAAAAAGTAAGAATTTAGAGATTAGTTTTGTCCAGCAATGATGCTGAGTGACTAGAAAACAACTTTAGTTCAACAAAGATTTCAATTATTTTGAGTTAGGAGTTAGTTCCTTCTGAAGTGGCCTCAGTCCACTGAATTCTGAATGGTGTTTTTGCAGCTAAAATCACAGCTTATGTAAGTAAGTAAGTAAGTAATCTTTATTTATATACCGCCTTTCACAGACCAGAGTCACAAAGCGGTTTACAATTGTTATTTTTTGGGCACTTGTCTCTCACTCCACACAGAGATGGGAGCCTCTCAGGCCATTTACAGCAAAATGATTCTACTAAGATTTGTTGCATTATGATGTATACATATTAAAAACATATTTCTGCTGCAACCATCACATCATAAATACCCTTCACTTACAGAGTGCGATGGGAGACTTTTTCTGCACAGAGTTGATGGAAAATTGAGATGTCATTAAAAGCCGCTCTGACAGACCACAAGAGAAAGATTACCTTTCATGTCAGAGAGCTTGTCTCACAGTAGTGTGTTTTTCCTTTAGGTAGAAAGCTTTAAAAAAAATCTTCTTTTTTTCCACTCAGCACGGCGGCTGAGTGGATAGCACTCTTGCCTCTCAGCAAGAAGGTCCTGGGTTCGAATCCAGGTCGGACTAGGGCCTTTCTGAGTGGAGTTTGCACGTTCTCCCTGTGTCTGTGTAGCTTTCCTCCGGGTACTCCGGTTTCCCCTACCACTACGACCTATTGTACTAATATGTACAATAGGTCTGGCATGCGCCTCCTGTACTGGCGACCCCACTCCCATCTCTGTGTGGAGTGAGAGGACAAGTGCCCAAAAATAACAATTGTAAACTGTTTTGTGACTCTGGTCTGTGAAAGGCGGTACAGTATATGAATAAAGATTACTTACTTTCACAAAATTGTGAGAAAGAGCAATGTTTTTAACTAATAAATCGTCAATGTGGCCACTTCTTGTCAGCTCACCATCTCTGGGCAGCTGACAAGGGAGATAAATTCATTTGGTGTATGTCAGTGACAATTTGACTCTTTGGCTAAACATTTTATTCTAAACAGGTAACAGAAACCAAAGAACGCAGGGGGGAAAAAAACACAGTTTTGTAATGTCCTCCGAGAAAACTTCTGTTGTGATTGATTGATTGTGTTGAAATACAATTGAATTTAAATTAATTGTGTGAGATTTTGCGTTTTTTTTACTTGCATGTATCCTCCAACAACACAGTACAACTGCTTGCGATTGCATATTGATATTTGACAATCACTCATTCTCAAATCTTGTATTAAAACCGGGAACATTTACAATCTCTGAAAAAAATGATGAAATGCCTTTCCAATGGGACATGCTAAATTGGATTGTTTTGAAAATATACAAGAATAAAGCAACCGTTGGTGCCTTCCTGTTTTGAAAGGCTTGTTGCCCCGTGACCTCTTTGCTGCTCTCTGATTGGTTGCTGCGTGGTGCAAGGATGTGAAATGAATCTCATCCCTTGCTTTCGCTGCATGCATCTGGCCGCCATACCCACCGCCTCTGCTGCATAGCAAAAAGGTATTTGCTGCGCAGGACAAAAGTGCATGCCGCAACGTACATGCAATTCCTTGCATGGGCGGATGTCACCATTGACTTGACTGAAGCGTCTTTGAGTGTCCAAAAAAGCGCTATGTAAGACCGCTATAGATCACCTTGTGTTTGTGAATTTGTAGTCCACAAAATAACTAATAAATCGCTAATGTGGCCACTTCTTGTCAGCTCACCATCTCTGGGCAGCTGACAAGAGAGATAAAAATGTGTTCGGTGTGTCGAAGACCATAATGCTCATCTTACAGTTAGATGATGTCTGCTCCCTCTGTGGAGAATTTTAAGTCTCGTCTTAAGACCCATTTTTATGCTCTGGCTTTTAACACGTGAGTTGTATGGTCCTTTTATTTCATTTTGTTTTATTGCTATTTTATATTTATACATATATGCACACACAATTTTTACCATCCATTGAATCGCTGCTGAGGTACGGGATTACCAGCTGGTTTGGAAATCTTCTTGCTAAATCCAAAACACAAATAATTAACTTGTTTAAAATCGTTGGGAAAATCATGGCCACGCCTGTTCTGGAGCTCTATGAGCAGGCCATGAGGAGACAGACCAGGAGCATCCTCTCTGATCTACACATGTACTTTTCCCTGAATATGAGCTTTTGATCTCTGGGAGGAGGTAGAGAGTGCCTCGGTCCCGACTCAATCGCTATAAGAACTCATTCATACGTGTTTCAGTGAATCTGTTAAATAAGGACATGAGAAGATGATGTGTGTGTGAACTGCATAACACGTATGTAGGTGTCTTTGTGTGTATGTATTGTTTGTACTGAAATGTAGCAGACCCGACAGTCCAAACCAAATCTCTCCTAAAAGAGACAAAAATAAACAATCTTGAATCTTGATCTTGAATCTTGAAAATGCTATACTAAAGCAAAAAAAACCCATCACTTTAATTGCCCTTTAAAGACACATTGTTAAAATACAATGTGTAGTTATTAATGTCATGTTTAAAATGGGACAATGGAAGCCACACATTTAGCTGCATAAATATGTGATTATGATAGAAAAGGCCAGAATGTACAGTATCTCACCTTCTGGAAGTCGCACTGTGGGTTCGGACACACTGTGTTTGTACAGAGCACCATGTCGCTGTGACACCGACACTCCGCACACGGCTCCGGTCGCCACAAAGAATTATTCTGGAAACAAACCAAAACAAGTATTACTGAGCATGTAACAAGAGACAAGGAAGCATCAGTGAATGATGTTGACCGAATCAACAGGAACCAATAGTTGCACTACAAACAAAATATCTTGTCTGGCTTAAAATTCTTCTTTGCTGTGCTAAAATTTGATAATTAAAACTTACTTCTTAATTGTGCTAAAGTCAGAGACGTTTTACTTAATTCTTGCTTCTTCATTAAGAGATTTTATACTTTTTTTATGCTAAAGTTAAAGATTGTATTTTATTTTACTTTAGTATAGAATTATTAATCATGTATTGTTCTGTCTGTAACCGGTGATACAACACTGAAATGTATCTCTAATCTTTAAAAAAAAAGATTCATAGCGTTTTCTTTATGCAATTATTTCACTTGTTCACATAATTTTTTTATGCTTGTGAAAACACTTTTTATTTCAAGCAACTTGCCTCATTGTCATGTGGACTTTTTGTTCATTGTTTTTTACCAGTTTAAAGCTGCACTAACTCAGTCGAATGTGAGCGCTGGCCTCGCTCTTCTACTCCCCCTCCCCGCACTCACGAAGCTTTCGCCCACCACTACCCCCCTCCCCCTCAGCCTGTGCTCATGTGCTAATTGTATATGGAGCTCACGTCTCACAATATGGATCGCACATTTGAACATGGATGGCGTGACCATAGAATGATAGAACCGGGAAGCGCGGAGGAACGAGACTTTCTTTTGGATGGCTGTTTCGCTGTGTAAGCAGTAACCGGTAACGTAGACACAAAGTTTCAGGTTAGCCTCCGCCGCTTGTTTACCTCAGCTGTCTGTGCTAACGAGAGACCTATAGCTTTTCCTCAAGAAAGCGGGGGCCAGTGGTTATATGTGATTGGTCACAATCTGGTCCCGAAACAAATTCTCTTCCTTGTTGAACAAAAACTCGATCTAAAATAAAATGACACGCCAGCACAAATCTGCGCTACTTTTTTGTTTAAAGGACGTATATCCCAATGCACTGCATGGATATGGATTGAATTTTCGTAATGAATACGAAAATAAAGTGAGGTAATGCAACTTTAATGTTGATTTATTTGTTCTCCTGTCTTTTTTTGTTTACTTCCTGTCTGTTATATAGATTGCTTACTCCGTCCTCTTGTGTTTCATCTGTGTGTATTCAAACCCTGTGCACCTCTCCACTGTGTTTTTGTTTGAGTTCTATTATGTCCTGGAATTTTTGAGTTTTGTTTATTGAATCTTATTTTTGGCAGTCTTGCATTTGAGTTTTTCCTTCTGTTTTCACCTCGTGACACTCCAGTACCCAAATGTAATATCTTCAAACCATAGTGAAGATTACAGAAGATCGATTCATTCTCAATATATACATAATGGACTGCAAAATCAACATTCAAGGAATATATCCAGGACAAAAGCAAACTCAAGATTGTATGAGGGCAACATACAATCTGGTTGACAAAAAAAAAAAAATGAGCATGAGCAGCTTGAATTGAATTTGAGAGCATTCAAAATGTGCTCAGATAAGGGTACATCATTTCAGTGTGAACCCCGATCAGGTGGAGGACTATTGTCCCAAACAGTTAGATTTAGACCAACATGAGTCCATCAATACTAATGACAGATTTGGATGACAGTGTTTTATGATTGGCTCAGAGCGAGAGCCAAATCAATATCCAGTACTTATTTCGTCCCATTCATCAAACATGTCTCCATAAATCTGAGGCAGGACTTGCAGGGGGGTGGAGGGCAGGGACGTGCAGTCAGGGGAGGCAGGGGAGGCAGAGCCTCACCTGCCATTATTGGAAACTAATAATTATTTTAGTTTAAATATATAATTTATATCCACTGTCCTATGCTTTTAATGTATATTCGGCACGGTTCCCATCGGGTGATAGTGAGCATAAAGTTCATACCAGAGTTGCTAACAAACAATCAGCCCAAAATGCTATTTCTTTTGCTGGAAAATGGATGATTTGAATGAAGATTTTTTTTCTCAATTGGACTTTCAAACAAAGAAAGAATTAATATAGACTGGGAGACCACCACTGGACTTACGAGGTTAGTCCGGCTGCGGGGGAGGAGTTTGTTAATCTGTGTTTTATGTTGAACATTGACAGATACCGGCAAAGTAGTGCTTTTCCGAAAAACACTGATTCAAACACTGCTCAAGAGTTCTGCAACTTGTTTAAATTATTGTTTATGTTCCTCGCGTCTCTCTCTCCTCGCGTCTCTCTCTCCTCGCGTCTCCGTCTCTCTCTGCTCCTCGCGTCTCCGTCTCTCTGCTCCTCTCTGTCTCTCTCTGCTCCTCTCTCCTCGCGTCTCTCTCTCCTCGCGTCTCTCGCACCTGCGCTTCTTAAAGATGTTGTTTGATGCGGAGCAGAGTCAGCAGCTAGATTTGTTGTGAGATTATTAAAAGAAGCTGGTTCTCTTATCTTTACAGTATATAAAGTTTGTGGATGTCATTGCATTGGTGATTAAATGCTATTTATTTGAATAATGATTGTAAATCTGACTTTTAAAGTCAGTGCCTCCCCAATCACAAACCTCACCGCACGTCCCTGGTGGAGGGGTGGGCATGGTGGAAAGCAGGATGTGAAAAAACTGCCAACAGGTGCAGGGTTTGCTCTTGTATTGCACCTCACAAGCCACAAACACAAAGAATATGTTGCAACATTACACATGTCTAATTGTGAAATAGCTTATTATTAATGTAAAATACACTGCAAACTGGTGTTTATGATCCCAATGCTGATGTTTTACAGTTATCAATATTAGAGTGAATTATAACAATTGAATTCTGCAGTTTCTGAGTTTTAAAATTAGGTACTAAGTGTCAATAAAATAAGGTAAAGTTTGACAAATTAGTTGGTGGCTGAGTGAAAGCTGAAGAGAACACAGAAGAGTCACATTTGGCATAAATAGAATCACTCAGGGTGTGCAAAAAGACAGGAAGTGTGCAAACATGTTGAAAGAGCCCTCCCATAAATAAAAAATTGGTCGATTGAAATTTTTCTTTAAAATATATATGCTGTATATTCATATTGTATATGTTTTATGACGGACAGCGAACAACACCACAGCTTTTGTGTTGAAAACAAACAATCCTAAATGGTTAGAAGCATGTCTGTTTTGAATGGTGAGGTCATATTGGTTCCTTCACAACAACAGTTCCCTGTCAAGAGCAGAACAAACAGATGGTTGACGATACAGTCCTGAAAGTGAGATGGTTAGAAAAGTACTCAACTCTTCTAGACCACAAAAAGGAAGTAAGGTAAGTATATATATATATATTCTATTTCATTCAAAATTATGTGAAGCCTAATGTATTTCTGTACATTGCTAAATTGTTACAGTATACAGTGCGCATGAGTAGCTAACAATAAGCTTGCTGTTTGCTTCATGTTGGATATTGCACCAATTATGCAAATAAAATGGTGGCATATGACTCTATACTAATGATGTTGAATACTACAGTAGATCCATGTATGCTGGAAGTTCGCCCAAACAGAGTCAAACTGGACGGTCAGTCCATCAACGTTATTGTGTCCTGTCTTTCTGCTCCTTCAGAAGCGCTTAGAGAATTGTGACCCCTCTCACTAATGGCTGCCCACTTCAGAGGAAACAGAATGGAGAGCAGACGTTGATCTGCCATTCACAGACATCGGAAGTCTTGTTTAAAGTTGAAAAATGACAATTTGATTTTACAATTTTACCTCTATATGTGGTCACTACTGGGTCAGTGAAAAATTATGTCCATGTCTATCTTTCTTGTTACAACTCGACATGTGCTTTGATATTGAGTGACAATTAAAGTATCTGGACTTTAAAAGGTTATAACTTAAAAACTAAAATTACTATCATCAATTGGAAAAAAGATTTCAAACACAGACACATTGAAGAGATAGTGTGGATAAAATCAAAAGGAAAGATTGACAAATATATTTTTGGCGACATTTTAAACGACCAAATCAGCCTCTGATTTGACCATTCTACTGTGACGCCAGTTACATAGAAAATAAAATGTCCTCAGTCTGAAAAAGCGGAAAATGAAATCCCACAAGATTTACATGGTTAATACAACATCAGGAAATCACTTGATATAAAAAGGAATTGTTAAAAAATAAAAAATAATTAATTAATTAAATTACCCTTGAAAAATGTGTAACAGACGTGATGATTTCCGTCATCTTTTCTCTAAAAAATAAACTTGGGAAAAAAAAAAATCTGGTCTGGTTTCACATTTATTTGGTTGACAATATGAAAGTATTACTTTGTTTCTACTTTGTGTAAAAAAATTGAATCTCTTAATCAAATGTGGACATCTGAAAATACGTAACAAACTTCTGCAAGCTCATTTCGTCAAATCATCACGTCCATTACATAAAATAAACAGGGCCGCTATAGGAAACTTGTCTAATGAATAAAACAGTTTTGTTCTAGCAACTTATAATGAACAAAGGAGGTGCTTGGATACTTGAAAAACATAAAATATCTTCTGATTATTAAAATCAAATTTTTGGCCTTTTGTCACACTTTTGTGCCCTTTAGTGTGAACAAGCACCGCACATTGATTTTTTTCTCTTCCTCTGCTGATGAATAACATACTGTGATAAACATAATTGTCCACACCGAATCAAAATAATGACTGACTGAATGAATGAAAGGGAGCTGATGAGTGATTCACCCGAATTTTCCAGAAATATTGAGTCAGAAATATTCCATTCGATCAAATGCACCCTGCAGAACTTTAGTGTGGTTTGTTGCCTGCTGCTACTGAAATTACTTATTATTTTATTTTTACTGCAACTTCTTACAGACCAGTGATAGTTGATTGTTGCTTGAAATTCAATATACTGTAAAGCTGTACATGACCTACTATGCTATTGAACTGGACCTTAAAGCAATCATGCCTGGACAAACGGACTCTTAATACTGGCAATGTTCTG